AAATACACCTATTTTTTTTCTCTTTCTCTCTCTCTCTGCAGATATCTCTTCACATGCTGCGTTTCTGCGGTCATCGTTATGTACGGGCTCAACCTTTATCTGCAAGAGAAGTCGATCAACAAGAAAGCGAGAGCGAGACAATTAATGCAAAACAATCACAATAACAATACAGTCGATAATATCTTGGAAGAGCACCTTGATTCACTCCCCACTTCCTGCGCATGCGCCTTAGCACCCTTGCAGCACGAGGAGCTCTACAATGAATACCTTTCTCAACCAGTCTTGTGGTTGAACCTGAGTACGAGACAAGTGCTAGAGAAGCAGCATCCGAATTTTCCCTTAGATCTACTTTCAAACGTTAACAGAGGCTGGTGTGATCTTCTACCATCTCCTATTGAGTAAGTCTGAGAATGGGATTGGTTCCAATAAGATGTGTTTTGTCCTGAGGGTTAAAGTCAGCCTTTATAAAATTTCAAGGTAATTTAAAAGATAGGTAGCACCAGTTCCATTTCCTTAGACTATTCTGACAGCTGTTTATGGTATGGAACACCTTTTTACCATACAGAAAAGGGTGGAATTTTTGTCTTCCGTCTATAAATTATACCAAATGAATTACACAAATTTTGATTTATCTAGGCATGTTTGGCACTGTACAGTTCATCCTCACTGGCAAAATTTGGTAATATCATTTAGCACTATTACACCTTTCAAGCCGTATGGTATAATGCGATCAGAGATCCTCAATATAATCTTGACACACGTTCAAAATACGGCAATTTCAATATGAATGGGAAAAAAATCCCTATTAAAATCCGATTAATATCTACAGTAAACGATAACAAGTGGGTTAGGCTAGGCTCGGAAGTTAGCAGCTGGGATTTTCATCAAGACTAAGTGGTGTTACCTTTATTATAAGTATCTTAGAAAATTCCAGCAAGCTTCCGACCATCCACACCCGTGGGTGTGTTTGGCCAAACACACCCACGTGTGTATATATGTATATATATATATATATATATATATATATATATATATATATATATATATATATATATATACACATATATTTATGCACATTTGTAAACACACACACACACACATATATATATAAAGAGAGAGAGAGAGAGAGAGAGAGAGAGAGAGAGAGAGAGAGAGAGAGAGAGAGACGTAAGGTATAGATAGATAGATAGATAGAGAATGATGTAAGGTATAGATAGATGGATAGATAGGCATAATGGTATGAGTTTTTCCTTCTCTACAGCATTGAATGGCACAATATATATTACCAGTCGCTGAAAGTCTCCGAAAACACCACTTACCTCCTCTATTCAGCCTTCCTGGATAATCGTATCTCCACCGGTAAGTCGTATATTTGATTCGAGGCAAGTGAACACTTGTGTTAGTCCAGCTTGCGTTCCAAGATATATACAAAATCATAGGGATAAAGTGAGACAGCTGTAACCTGTGTTCATGAAAAAAATCAATATTTAATGTTTCTCATTCTGACAGACACACGCCCCTGTATCAGGATCTTAGCCTACAGCAAAGACACAGATCCGGCCACTCCTTGGTGCTATATTTGGTTCAACTCTACGGGTCCGCCCGCCGTCTCTCGAGTTATAAGACTAGGTAACTTGTGCAATTAATGCATCTTTACTTGTTTTACTGCAGTGATTAATGAAATATGAAATAATGGTAACGATATAGTAATATGTCACGATGAGAGGATTATTCTGATTTTGAAACTTTTAATTATTATATATAACAAATACTTATCCATAAACAGGCGTAGAAACTACTCATTATGCATAATAAAATTGACAAATTACCCAATTAGGTAATTAATTTCTAATATACAGTTAAAAATGAAGGAATTGAAGCTTCACGTATTAACCAGGATGGGGTGAGGCCACACCTAACTAGTGTTGTGCGTGGATACAAGCATCTGTCAGTTATATTAGTAGTAACATATACGTCATGTGTTTTCTTGCAGTTACTACCGCTAAGACGTTCAAACTGAATTACAAATAAATTATAGTGTTACAGTATAATGTGTTGCCAGATGATATAGTGTTTATTGTATGCACACTCATACACACGCGCCTCGCGCGCGCGCACCCACACAGATACACAGACACAGACACGCACGCACGCAAACAAGCACGCACGCACGCACACACACACACACACACACACACGCACACACACACACACACACACACACACACACACACACACACACACACACACACACACACACACACAAACACAGACCAGACGTCCTGAGTATGGGTAATTCTCATCAGTGAAATCTCTACACACCAAATCCCAAGCATATAGGCAGATTAGGTAGGGAATAAATCTCAAATATCTATACATATGTTATATGGTTCTTTGACTGCCCATTGTAAATTGTATAAAGATATTTAAGTACTTTAGGCTGCGAAAGGGAAGAGTCACTCTGAAATTTAGTTAGCATAAGGTGGAAAGGGACTTTACA